TTATCTCTTGGTGTCCAGCAGTTCACCAAAAAGCAAAATTGTAGACATCAGCTCCGATGAAGACAGTCATCATTTTGAGGCACTGTGAGAGTAAACTGAATTAACAGTGATAAGGCCCGATTAAAAACTTAGCTTAAAATTTTGTCAAGTACTAGAATAAATAAAATTTAAAGAATTTTTCTTACTTGGGTCTCCTATGTTTTTTCCTAGCTTTTGATGCAGCATTGGAAGAAAAAATCTTACTGTGCTGCTTCTAGTCATATGTAATTACTCCAGTAACAATGTGTTCTTTTCTTGAGTTTTATCTCCTCTCATAGGACCTTAAATAGGGAGAGAGATTTGTTTTCCCGCTCTCATGTTCTTTTTAGGCAAGTTCAATGGGTGCTTTGAAGTTGGATGGCATCTGTGCCTATTTATGAGTGTTAGGACATGTTAGGAGGAGAGGAGGTGGGTGGGTGGGAAGTTATCAAGTGTAAAGTTGTGGCAGTGGTGATGGCTGAACTATAAGTTAGCAGTGCATAAGAAGTAGATTTCCCCACTGCTAGCAGCTTGTATGTTTTATAGAATCATTTACTGATCATACAACACAATTTTGCGTGTGAATTCAAATTCATGTAGAACTTGTATTTTTTAGCCTCCTTTTTACTGCCGTGATGTTGCTGAGATGTACGATAATATTCTTCATAAACCCCTGGTTTTGCGCCCAGGAATCAGTCTCACAGCCTGGTCTATCCTGGAAGAGCTTTTGGAAAAAGATCGACAAAGCAGACTTGGAGCAAGGGAAGATTTTGTAAGTGATGTCCTAATTTATCAAGCCCTGTGTCATTTAAAGGGCCATCACCAAATTCACGTGCGTAGCTCTGGATTAATAGCTGGAGATGGAGACTGCACTGCTATGTGTGTCTCTGTTTTCCCCCTTTTTGTTTCTTTGTTTTTAAGACGTTGATTTGAGAAAGTATAGGTGTCTTCAGAACTGTGTGATGAAGAATGATCTAGAAGGATGTACTCCGTCCATTAACTGTGAAATCTTTGTAGTCTTCTATTTGCAATCTTAATGTTAGATATTCTACTGGCCTTAGATTGTAAGCATTTAGATTATATCATTGTACCTTTTACGGAGTGGAGCAAGATGAAATGATTTAGCATAGCTGTTTGCTGCTTCATAACTAGTAAGCACATTGCAGAGTTGTTGAAGCAGCTGCTTCTCAGACAGTGGTATGCTCTACAAAAGCTAACAGAGCTTTAAGGCATGAACAGATACCAACAGAAAACATCCTTGCTCTAGGGTAGACTTCAGCATCGTTGTTTTTGTGGCTTAAAAGCAGAAAGTATAATCGTAAAAGGAGACTACTTTGTAGAGGCAGGCTAAAAAGTTTTAATTCCTCTTCACCAACTACAGTTTTTATTGCAAATTAAACTATGAGTAAAGAAACTCATAGTAAAGAAACTTGCTTATGGGCATGTAGTCTGAAGTAGTAGTTACTGTGCACAGGATGGATTTCCAAAATATCTAAAATCTTTATTCCTTACTGCAGCTTGAAATTCAAAAGCACCCGTTTTTTGAATCTCTCAGCTGGACTGATCTTCTTCAGAAGAAGATTCCGCCACCATTTAATCCTAATGTGGTAGGTGCCTGGTGCTGGTTTAGTGCTAAATTTTTGCTTTTGAGGGCTCATCTATTTGCAAAGAGTGTTTGTTTCGGAACAGTGAAGAATGGGATCTCCTTGCTGAGTGCTGGCTGGCTTTTTGAGCAGTCACACTTTTGAGCCACGATACTGTCTTTTTTTACTTCAAACTCGGTTTGATGGATCCCTGTTTCTTCTGCTAGCTCCTGTCAAAGTCCTGCCAATTTTTGTGGGGTCTGAAGACCAAAGAAAAAGTACAGATAACTTATCAAAGACTTCCCAAAAAACTGGTTTCCTGCTTTTTTAATAGTTTTTACATCTTAGTTGCAAATTTTCTCTATCCTTCCATCAGTTTAAACTGGGTCAACCTGTGACTGCTTGTCCAAAAACTCAGGGTGAGGTGAGACCAACAGTGGGGAGGAAATCCTTCCTACAGTCACATCAGAGGATCACTTTTTGTTGAGCCTGTGTCCGGTGAAAGAAGCCTTAGCTGTCTTGTTGCTTCTCTCTGTGACTAAATATTGCTATGTTGAGTTCTTAGGTGTTCACTGGGAAGCTGATCTATCTTAACAGTACCATTGCTAGAATTTAGCACTTTAAAATATTTTTGATGGAAAAGGGAGAAAAAGAATTTGATGTGGTTTGGGATTTTTTTTTTCTAATGGGTTTTGGGGTTGTTCTTACGTTGGTTGGTTTGTTGGATATGTTGTGTTTTGGGGTTTTTGGGGCGGGTTGTTGGTGTTTGCATCTCCTTAACAATCATTTAAGAAAGAGACATTTCTTCATATTTTCTAGGTTTATCAGGTTTGGCCCAAACTCCAGCCTAAAAGAAAAAAGCACCCCTTCAATAGTTGTGTTCAGGGATGCTGCAGTGTGCTTCCTTAAATTTCCTATACTTAAACAGGAAAGAACAATATAGATTAGACAGCTTTGAGAATTAAGTTTGGAATCTAAAGGACAAGGACAAGTTTAAAACACCATATTAATATGACAGCTAACAGATCCTTCTGTTTTCTAGGTTGGACCAGACGATATTGGGAATTTTGATGCAGTGTTCACAGAAGAAATGGTCCCATACTCAGTTTGTGTTTCTTCTGATTACAACATCATTAATGCCAGCGTCCTAGAGGCAGATGATGCATTTGTTGGATTTTCTTACGCACCGCCTTCTGAAGATATGTTTTCCTAGGAAGTTAAAAGCAAAGAATGTTTTGAAAGTCTTGGAGTGAACTGAAATGTTAGGGTTATGGACACATTCCAAAATAGCATAACTAGTGCCTCGTTTTGTATGTAGGTTTGAAACCTATGAACAAACTTTCTCTGCTGTATAGGAGGAATTTGGGCATTTTGGATGGCTTTCTTTGGGATTTGAACTGTTTGTTCCTGCTGCAGAAAATATTTTTTAAAACCTTTAAAAAGCATTCTCTACATATTTTTTAAGCAAAAACACTGACTGTTCTCCTCAGTCCCTTCAAGTTTACATTCATACCTATCTAATTTGCCTGGCACAAACAGCAGCAAATTTAGTAAATTTATAAATGCTTTTGTACTTATTTACAGTGACTTTGTGCTTGAATTGTAACTATGCAAATTGTCTTTTGTATATTCTGGTTTAAAAAAGGTAAATGTTTTCCCTGTTAACAGTTCGAAATGTGTTAATTTACCTGTCAGCACTTAAATGAGGGGTTAATATAAGTTAAGGACCAAGATTCTTAAAGGACTTCTCCAGAATGAAAACTTGGTTATGTAAAACTGGATTCTTGCTCTTGCTGAAGTACCCGTTGGCTCAACTGGATTATCTGAGGTATGGGGGATTAACTCAAAGCAAGGATGGAACAAATTAACTGGATTGATTTGATAACATTACTTATTATGTGTTCTACTTTTCTTCCTGAGCTAAATATGTCTATATTTCAACTACATTAAAAATATTTTGGTTAAAATTCTGCTTCTCCAAAGATATAAAAATATGCAATAATCACCATTACTTTAAAAGGCTATCTTGCTTTGATGTTTTGGGTGTGGGTATTGAGGGGATCATGCCAAATATTAGGGAATTTTCTCATGGATTTGTAGTTTAAAACACTAATGTGTTCCAAATTGATTGTATTTCAGCATTCATAGCTACTTGTCTTTCTGTTCCAGTTTGCACCATTTCTAAATCTTCACTTGATATTGGGGGGGGGGAAATGTAAATTACACTGATAATTTTAAAAATGTGAAAAGCTGTTGTATTTCTCATAACATACACGTGTATGGACAAACAGATAATACTGAACAATTTCTGTTTAAGGAAATTTTTTTAAACAATGCAAAAATTGACTGCAGTTACAGTGTATAAAGGCCTATCATGGTAGTTTATTATATATATTACTTGTAAATAACAACTTATTTTTGTCTGTTACTTCAAAAATGTTCTGTGGTTTTTTGTTCATAAATACATTTAGTTAAATGCCTTGATTTGAGAGAAGATACTGATGTATCATAATAATACATAAATTGAATGAATGTTACATGAATTTCAGTATCTAAATCATCTTGTTTTTGACAAAATAAGCAGTTAAGATAAATACTCTTTATATTCCATCAAGATCAGATAAAAATTGAGAACTTAGGGGGAAAGAGTGTATTGAATTGTAATTCTTTTGAAATAAATGTTGTGTCAACAGTGAAAAATTAGGTAAATGGAAACTAAAACAGGATTCGTTGCTTGTCTCAAAGCGTATATCCTATAGCACAGTCTCCTGCATAGTGGTTAAGTGATGCTGAGCAGTTGCTATGTGAGGTTTTGGAAGCAGTGATTGGCTTAAAGAAGTAAAAATTGACGTTGGCATGGAAGGTCGGAAGGAAATGTAGCACTTGTGGGAGAGGAGTGGTGGCTTGGTACTCATTTTCCATAGTTTTCTTCTGCAAGGATTGGAAATAGCTATTTGTCCTGTGCCTGCTCAGGACAACTAACAACTACATGAATAGTGTTCTTGGAGTTACAATCATTTGGAAGCAACAACCTTGGTGTTATTTTGTTTTGGTTTTGGGTTCTTTTGGGGTTTGGTTTGGGTTTAACATATATTTTTAATATCAGTCTCTGATGGACTGGAGAGCAGAAATTGATGATAGGAAAGGAAGTATCTATTCTCATACTGAATTTTTACTCTGTATGTCCCTGAAATTATTGTGGCTACTGTAACTACCTTCCCTTTATGGCAAGGAGGTACACTACTCTAGAGAGGTGGGAAGGAGAGGGGTTCATTCAGAAATGGTTGCTGTGGGAGATAGCACTCTTTTTAATTTTCGTCTTGTATTTCCAAAATGTCCATACCTAGCTGCCTGAATGGGTGAGGGCTTTTGGTTTTTTCTTTTTGGCCACAAATTTGGGGGTTCTTTCCTTCCTTTTTTTTTTCCCTTTAAGAAAATATTATGGCAGTGGTAGTTGAAGTTATTTCTGGGAGAGCAGCTTAATAATTACTTATTAAGCTTTTTAATATTGTTTATTAAGCTTGTTCTTCAGCAGATTTTGCCTTTTTGGTGAAGTGTGAACATGTTAAATGCATCACTTGCAATACTTAAGTTCCTTGAATCAGGACTTCTGAAGATTAACAGACTCTGTGTACATCATCAGGCAATAAAGCCTTACAGTACTTCTGCTCTTGTTTTACATTTCTGAATCACATGAGGGTGGTTTCCAAAGTAAGACAACTGGGTTTGGAGTGTTCATAGCCACTTCACCCAGGGCTGAGCTGAAATGTGACATCTGAAGCACTTGGTAAAGTCTAGAGAGGAGACCAAATCTGCACAGGAAACCACCTTTGGTACTCCTTTCCTGTTTGAGCATGTAAGTAATAAAGGAAGGTAAAGTTTGCCTTTTTGTGACTAATGCAGGTCTGTAGCGAAAGGGGATTGTTCCTCCCTTTCCAGAGAGAGAACCCAAGCACCCCATGAGGAGCAGGCCTTTCTGCTGTGGAGGCTGAGGAATGGTGCTGCCACTGTGCCCTCCAGTCTTTTGGCCTAGAAGGGGGGAGGAGCAAGAGAGACCACAGGAATATGGGCTGAAGAAAATGCACAGTGGTTGTAAAAGTGTGAAATGAAATACAACAGAAATACAGTTCAGAAGTGCTCTCTCAGAAGGTAAGTTTGTGGGTGGCTGGCATGCTAAAGGCAAGGAGTTAAATATGCAATATGTATTAATGGAAGAAAATGGCCTTATAAGTACGTTGTCTTTTAGTACTTGATACGCTCTCGGTGCATGACCCTTGTCCAGTGCACTGCCTGGCCCGTGGGTGGAGGCAGTAGCCATGTGCCCCCTGGGGCAGAGTCACCAGTCCCGATGGTGGCAGCGAGGCTCGGGCATCTGTGGGTGTCGGATGCGCCTGGGTTTCCCTTCCCTGAGGACTTGGGAGTGTCCACAGGCGCTCCCCTCCGGGACATGGCCCGGCGGCGCTGAGCCCTGCGGGATGTGGCGCCGTTCCCGCCCGCGCCGCCGGTGGCTCGGGGCTCGTTCCCGCCGCATGAGGGGCTGAGGGAGCAGCGCCAGGAGCCGAGTCCTGCGGCTGTGGAGCCCTCGCTGCCGCCTCGTCCACGGCCCCGTTCGCCTCCCCACGGGCACAGCGGCGCCTCGCAGGGAGCAGCGTCAGGGCTCGAGCCCCGCGGTGGTGAGGGCGGCCCGGTCCCCTCGGTGCCCATGGCCAGTGCCCATTGCTGCTGCTCCAGCAGTGCTTAGGAGGGGACATAGGAAGCCTGGAGAATACTTTGGTGGAGGTGTCTGTGAGGAAGGGGTGCTGATGGCCGGAGCCTGAAGCCAGATGAGAGATGATGACACACCAAGTCACAAATAGGATTAGCTGGCTGTGGGGACACTGGTGAACACGGTCACCCTGGTAGTAGGAATAGTCAGATTTTATTTTTTGAAGCTTAGGTGATGACTCTTCAGTGCACACTGAGCTGGGCCATAGCTTAATCTTTCCTAGTTGTTTGGTTAGTCCTGTTTTTCTGGGCCAGGAAACAGGGGGTCCAGGGTGCCACAGTGTGTGTTTCTTTAATCCCTTCTTGCTGAAGATTTGTGCAGGAGTAACCCTAAAGAAACTGGGAAAAAATAAAATCCCTATTATATATTCTATTTCAATTTGTGCTTATAATTTGTTACTTGAGGCACTAAACACATCCCAGCCCACAGCATACAATTCTCAGGCCACAGGGTTTTACATTACTGCCACACTGACATTGTGCTGGAAACCAGTTACTCCTCTATTAGGTGTTGATCTTTTTGTCCTCCTGAAGCCACTTCTGTGAACCCCTACAGGGGATCTTCCATATGCTATGAGCTTTGATTCCTCATCAGCTCAGTAATTCTCTGTCCTATCCTTTACCAGGTAGCTAAATCTTACTTTTGAAGATTTGAATGGCATTTCACATTGGTCATCTCAAAGGACACTTTGCCAAAGATCTGTAAGATGGTAAAACAGATGCATATATACAAAATGCCATGTTTTGGCCTTAGTAATATTTCTAAATTCTGCAAAATAGTGCTTCGTGGTATGAGACTCTACACTTAAAAAAAAAAAGTAGATATGTGGGTAATACACACTGAAAACAGCACTGAAGATCATGGTCAGCCTCCAAAACAAAATTGTAATTGTAAAAGTTTTGTCTATGGAAGCCAAAATTGATCTTCTGTGTACATGGATGGAAATAAGTGTTTGTGAGATCAGCATCTTAAGTGGGTGCTACAGAAGGTAACAGCAGAGTAGAAAAGATTTTAAAGAAGAGAAAAGATGTTTCCCAATTTCACACTTTTAACAGCTATGACAGACTTATCAAATAAGGGAGATAAAATTTTAAGTCTTACTTTTGATAGACTGATTACACCTATAAAATAAACAGGGTTAAATTAAATGCAAGCTCTAATTTCATGGGTTAGGGAATTAGGAGAGTGAAATAATTCATGGGGGGGAGGGGCAGGGAAACATGTTAGACCATTCTTCAGAAATTCACTCTAGGAATGGAGTATATGCTTCAGCCACTGGAAACAGCTTCCATTCATGTCATTTCAAAATCCTTAAAGAATTGCATAGTTTGAAAAAAAGGACTATTTTAATTTTGTGTAGATTTGCTAATACATACCAGTAGTAGTAGTAGTAGTAGTAGAAGAAGAAGTTCTAATATAGTTTTTTCACAGTTTATACCCACAGTTTGAGAAAAAATCTTGGAAGATGCATCCTGAAATACAGAAAATGAGGGAAGTTGCCCTTGTTTACCTTGACAGAAGTGGCGGTCTGCAGAAATTTGTGCATGATTGCAAAAGATATAATGGTATTACTCACTTAATACATAGTCTGTTAAATTGATACATAATGTAACATAAATCTCTGTTATTTTAAGATGCTTTTTGCTCCTGCAGATTCAAAACAAAGTTATGCTGTTTATCGTTTCATTATTTCAATAAATCCTTCTGACATTGCTGAATTGGATGCAACTCTTGGAAACTATATTCTTCATAATCCCCTACAAGCTGCACAGATTTTTCAGTCAGTAAGTGTCTATTTATAGATGAGTAGACAAAAGTATGGCTTTGATATTTTAACAAGACTTCCATTCTAAAATGAAGTTATTTTTCTGTCACAGGTATGCTTCATAGCTATTAAGACATTATCATTAATTGAACAATTGGAGACAGAGGCCCAGGTGAGTCTGCATTGTTTTTCTTTATTTAGATCTTACATCTTCTAAGTATAGTGAAGTATTAACAAATGTTTTTGTATTAAGTTTTCATTTTCCCTTTGGCTGTATTTCTAATTAAAAATAGCTGGAAGTTCCACCCAGCCATATTGCAAGAATTTTGAGATAATTAATACAAAACCTAATTACTCTTCATGTGTTTCTGGAAATACTTTTAACATTTAGATATCATGTTGCATGTTTTTCCATGGAAAGTAAAGCAGTTTTAAATAAAAATATATTTTTATTATATTAATGCAATTGTGTCTCTTGCTAGATCAGTATATTGCTGAAACCAACACATTTGCCACCTTTACCAAGTTATGTTCTGAGTCTTTCTGCATATCCCTTTAATTACACATCTCAAAGATTTTATATGTCTGAAGGGATAGTGATTGCAATGGGAACTGTAACAAAATACACACAAGGAGCAAGATTTCTTTGTGCTGAGGAAACCTGTCCATTCTCTGAAGGTAGTAAAAAAAAATAAATAAAAATCAGTACTATTTCAAAAGCTTTTTAATAAATTTGGTAACGAGAGATTAAAAGCCTAACATAAAAAAGGTATTTTCCTATATAGTTTTATTATGCATACATTTTTGTAATAAGCACAGTAGGATTTTTATTAATCGAAAGCAGTGGACCTTGCCCAGCATTATGAAATGTTTCTGGAGCATAGCTATGCCAGCAATCCCTTTTCCTAATGCAGAAGATAGTTTATATGGGAAAAGATATGTTGCCAAAATATTTGAAAGTAAAAGAGCTAAACTAGTAAAATACCTTTTCCCTTGGAAACTGTGTTTCTTATTACATAAAAATACCACAGAACAATATGCTTAAGTGGCTGGCAAAGGCTTCCAGCACAGAACAAGTTTGCTTTAATGAGTAGCTGACTTCTGTGGAACTACTTCTTGGAGTAATATTGCTGAACTGCTTGTACCATTGTGGGGTGAGGCCTTAAGTATTTTTAAGGCTGTTTTGTTTGATTCCTCCTGTAACAGAGACCATACAGTTATAAAAGAGACTATAAATCTCAAAGTTTGGAGACTGCAGAATAAATCATACAGATATCTTTATGAGGGCACGTACCTCCATATCCCATGTCATTCCCGCGCCAGGGAGAAGCCGCAGTGGCTCGCTCCTCAGAAAGCCTGGCCAACCCGTTCCACTTGGGAATGTGCAGTAGGAAATTCTGCCATCTCGTGGTCAAGCCACAACAAATTATATGCATCATTTTAGTGGAAGCAGCGTATATGAAGGGAGGCTCATCTAAAGAAACACACGATAAATTTGGAATTTCGCTGTTCAGTATTTTAATCGCTTCTGTTCTTGATGAGAATTTTAAAACTAAAGCTATGCCCTCGAAATGTTTGGTAAATTGTTACTTCTTTTTTAGGGTTTAGGTACATCAGAGTGCATTGTCCTGGAGCTACAGAGTCTGCCACAGTTAGGACTGATTTTGTGTGTAGCTTGTGTTCTTCACCACTGCAGGAAGACATGAAATTTAGAGTACTTGGTGGTAGGATCTATGTAATCTTATTTTCAGATCTGGTACTTTCCTATTTCTGTTACACAATAAGTAAACAAAATAGTTAAGTGGAAAAAGCCCCGGAATAAACCAGTCATTAAAAAAAATGTTTTCAAGAGAACTAACTTCTTTCTCTGCTTTTGTTTTGGAAGATAAACAAATAGTTGAAATGATTGATCCTAAAATTCTGAATGCTTTGAAAGGATATTCCAACGATGAATCACATTTTAGGATTCAGGCATTTACAGTTTTCTTGAGAGGTAAGCTGAATTTTAGAGGTTTGTCAAAGATGTTTTAGAATCGAACTGTAATAATCCCTTGCATTTTACCTGTAACTCCATTTCTCTGGATAGAATGGTGGAACTCAAAATTTACATTGCAGGTCTTTATGTATTCCCCTCCCCCCCCCTTAATTTTATTGAAATTAGGTAAGTGACAAAACAGTATGCCCAGGTGATTGCAGAGTGCACAAAGCAAAACTCTCATGTTCGCTTTTGTACCTCCATTTAAAGAAAATCTCCTGGCCAGCTCAGCAGTGTTGCATTCTGTCATTTGTTTGTTCCTCCTTTCTGCTTCCTTTGGTAATGCTGTTCTGTACTAACTTCATGCCTTTTTAACATCCTTCCTCAATCTAGCTGTTTTCCACATTCCATCACGATTCTTGGCTTCTATTACCACTACCTACCTACTACTAAAAACCAATCTATGGGTAAGATACCATGAGTTGCATGCATTAAATTTCCAGTGGCTTCAGTGATCAGTGAGGCTAGACAGTGTCTCACAGGCTGATTCATATTTGGTTGGATCTAGTTCTCATTTCCAAAAAAATAAATGGATTTTTTTTTAAATATGCACAGAAATACTAAGGTTCACAAAGATATTTGTGAGTCTTTTTGAAATCTGTGTCATCTGTATCTACTCTTTATTGTGTTGGGTTTTTTTCTGTGACATTTTATGAACAGTTACTGAAATGGTGTTGCCAGAAATTTACAAGTAGCAACACATACTTGCAAACAACTGACCATTTCCTTTTCGATGCAGAACTAAATGCATCCATTTCTTTATCAGGAAACTGTTTTTCCTCACTCAGTGTGCCTTCCTTACCTTTTGCACTAATTAATTAGAATTGTATGCTTCATTTTATTCTAGTCCATTATGGTCAACCTGGCATCCAGCTGTTGTTTTCTGCTGATGTTAAATCATAAAATCAAACATTCAGACTGTGAAGAAGTTTTCTGACCATGTCTTTAAAATTATTTTTATGCCCTAACATATCTGCAGGTCCGCCTCCCCCTCCTTTTCTTTTTTATTTATTTCTAGATGAACTGGCCAATAAAATGACAATAGGAAACCACTACAGGATTATAGGAATTCCAGCTTGTGTACAAAATGGCTCACAAGCTACTGCATGTATAGAAGTAAATGGCATACAGCTCTGCAAACCAAATGGTAAGAAAGTTCCTTTAAAAATTGACTGAAAAAAGTTGCAAAACCTTCTGGAACGAAATCTTGAGAATTGGTATAGTTTTCTATTCCCTAGAGGTCCAGATTACAAAACCACTCAGGGACTTTCCTATTGCAGTCTGAAATGTGTACTTGCTGTTATTTGATAACATCTGCTTTTGCCCGCTTTCCATGCACTGGGAAACTACCTAATTATTTACTGCAGTTTTTCAACTTCTCTTTCCAACTTCTCCTATCCATTGGAAGGCACTTTGAAATCATGTTAAATGAACCTGATATTTGAGTTTGTTATTCCCTTCAACCTTTTTACTTTTTACCTTTACTACTTTTTAGTAGTACAGTTGTCAGATGTTTACATTCTGAATTTGTGCTTAATACAGAAACATATTAATTAAGTTTTGTATCCAGACTAGAATTAATTAGTGATTTGTTCTAATATATCTGTATAGGTCTCTCTTAAGTGTTTGTTAACCTCTACTTTGTTTCCATTAGGTCCTTCTTTTCTCAGTGACAATTTTAAGTATCTGCTCTCATTGACTTCAAGTTCATGCTGGAGGTTTACTGCTGTCTTGGCCAACATCTTTGCTTCTGAAGTTGTTCCACCAGGCACTTACAATACTCTTAAACTTGCAATATTGCTGAGCCTAGTACAGACATGTGAAAAAGAAAATGCAGATTATCTGGATCTGTTGATTGTGACAAGTGACACACTAGTAATTGATAGGTAAAGAGATTCCTTATTTTTCACATAAATTAGAATTTAAAATTAGTATTTTTAAAGACAATAGGATCAGTCTTACATGAAAAGCTAGAGACTATATATAAAAAAAAAAAGCAAGGCTCAAACTTAGTAAAAATAATAATTTTTTTTCCCTGAGACATTTTTATTTCTTTCAAATGATAAATGTAGATCACAGCTTTTGTACTAATAATAAACCCTCTTACCACTCTCATAATGATAGCAATAAGAATTCAGCACTAGCACTGTTCAGCAGAGCTCAAACAAAACATTATTCTAAAATCAAAACTGAAGACTGTCCCAGGAGCTGGTAATGATAAAAACAAAGGACTAAACTTTTAAAATCTTGTGTCACTTGAAGCCTTTCCATCACTGGTTGCCAACCATCAGCATTTTCAGTTAATAAGCAGTGTGTAAATCATTACTCACATTTTTATCTCTCTTTTTCATAATAACTGTACTGATAAAGTATCACAAGTCACACACATCTTTACATGTCGACCATAAATCCAGTTATTGTTGCCTTTAACTAAACGTTTTTCTGTATTTTCCCATTTTATGTATTTACCTCTTAGTACAACTAGAAACTGTAAACACAATTTTATATAAACTGCTGAAAAATACAATATGTTCAGCTTTAAAATTACATTATCTTAAACAAAACTGCTTTCTTCTTCCCAAGATTTTTGAAAGTGGCACGAACCTTATTTTAATTTGGAACTTCTTAAAAAAATTCATCAATATTTTATATTGTGGGAAAAAAATACTTAGACCATTTCAAAATTGAACTGTAGAAAAATTAGTTCAAATTTAAAAAATGTGGGCTGCAAGATTTTTTTTCCCCCAGGTTTAGAGTAAAATTTCACAGGAGAAGCAGGAGCTCAGAGTGTTTTAAGAATCAAAACATCTGGTTAATATTAAAAGAGTTGCACACTGTAAATCTTGATCAATATTGTAATCTGTATTGTCTTGCATGTGCACAGTATTTTACTATCAGCAGCCTGTCAAAGTAGGCATTTCCTACATCATATACCTATTGGTGTGATACTCTGTTTACTAATACTTACCAGTTTTGCTCAATCATTTTCTCCCTGGTATTAACAGTAGGATAAACCATGCTCTGACATCTTAAAATCATTAGAAACCTTTGATTGTGGAACCAGACAGTCAATTTGCAACATCTCTGTGCCAAGGAACATAGTAGAGGGGATGAAAAAGATATTCTATACCTTCTTTCTCCAAAAGATTTGGGGAGGTGGGGGTGTAAGCTAAGAAGGCAGAGCTTAGAAGTTCCAGCCTTTTCATTTTTCCCATATGGCCAGGATTACTAATCCTCTTACCTTTTAAATCACTGGAAAAGTATCTCTAGAATAGAAAGAGGAGTTAACAGTATGGGGTTATTATGAGACTTTTTTGACTTCCTAGAAATCACTTATATTGCAAACCACGGTTTGCCTCATGTTTAATCCATAATACCATCCTGTTGGCAGCTGTTGGAGAGAAAGCTTGGAGCTCTTCCTTTGCATTCAAACTTAAACATTTAGTTTTGACACTGGTTTCATATTAAGGGTTTTTTTCCTTGTTGTTGTATCTAAGTGAGTCTTAATACTTTATAATGGTATTTATATATATTAAGTATGGTATTAAGTTTTTTTTAAAAGTGACCAATAATTTAAGAACTTATGACTGACAGAATTATTTAATCCTGCAGGCTTCTGAATTACAGTTTATGCCTTCTGCCTCGTGGCATACGACACCCACCTTCCACTGAAATTTTTCCTTCTGTGTCCAAAGACAAACATGGAACTGGAAGTGCCAGTATTCAAGCCTGCAGCGCTGTGCTGGCCAAGGGTGGTGTCTGTTACATAGGAGACCTATCTTCATATAAAAAGGATAAACTTGAACTTCTACAGTCTGGTAATCTCCCACCTCCAAACAGACGAGGGGAGAGAACTAAACAAACACAGAAATTCACAGCTGGGTTTGATCCCCAGCTTACAGGCCTCAAATGCTTCAAAAATCCGTAAGCTGTTTTTAATGAGTCTGTGCAAGAAATAAGGACAAAAAAGCCAAGGTCCTGTAAATTTGTATTTGCTGCACTACTGAGATCCATTAGTCATGGCAATTCAGAGAAATGAGGGCAACAACTTCCCTTAAGGGGAAGCCGTATGAGGAGCAGCTGAGCTGACTGGTCTGTTCAGCCTGGAAAAGACTGAGGGGAGACCTCGGCAGTCTACAACTTCCTTGTGAGGGGAAGAGGGGGGGCAGGCACTGATCTCTTCTCTGTGGTAACCAGTGACAGAACCCAAGGGAATGGCCTGAGCTGTGTCAGGGGAGGTTTAGGTTGGATATTAGAAAGAGGCTTTTCACCCAGAGGTGGTTGGGCACTGGAACAGGCTCCCCAGGGAAGTGGTCACAGCACCAGCCTAACACAATTCACAAAGCATTTGGATGATATTCTCAGGCATGTGGTGTGACTCTTGAGGATGGTCCTGTGCAGAGCCAGGAGTTGGACTTGATGATCCTTGTCAGTCTGTTCCAACTCAGCATATTCTGTGATTCTGTGAAATCATAATCGTGACTGGTTTCAGATAATGTGTGTGGTACTACAATTTACAGTCAAGCTGAATCGATCATGTAACTGATTAGTTTTGTCTTATCCTAGTACTAGAGAGCAGAACAACAACAGTATTTATTCCTGGGAAGAAGTACGGAGAAGAAGCTGACCAACAAGTTACTATTTCAGTTCAGACCAATTTTTGGTCTTTTGTGGATGTGGATTCTTCCTCCAAGAAACATATACAAAAGGAGAACTTTTTAATTGGACAAATGGTAAAGCACATGCCTTATTGTGACAGGAACTGTATTATAGCTGTTATTTGTGTTTATTGTTATTTCAACTGATAAAATAATGAAAACAATTAAACTTGTTAGTATTTCCAGAAAAGTCACAACTTTAGTGACTTTAAATCAAGTAGCTTCTAAAATGAGGTAGCTTTCCCAAATGTAGGGATCAGTGAAACAAAATTTTACTGTTATAGGTAAATTCATTGGATAATCTTGCAGTATAATGAATATTGAATATTTCAGATGGAAAACACTGTGATGTTTCTACAAGTCAAAAGCCCAAAATAAAGTAATTGTTTTTGTTCTCTGGGTCTTCTCTTTAGGACATGAGTTTGATTCCAGCTAACCTTGTAGATGTTTTTGGGCTCTTGATATACAATGAGTTTCCTTCGTGTCGACTGTCTTCTCCTCTTGTACACCATATCTTGAAAAAAGCCATTAACCCTGAAGCCATGCTGTACAAAGTCTCACAGCAGCTCAGAACACAGGATTATGAGGAGGTAACAGATTGTACACAATAATTTAGACATGCATTATATTTGGGAATATCATACTGGTTTTTGGCACCAGAGGGTTTTCTCTGCACAGTTTGATTACTTATTTTTGATACTCACTTTCTGTCCTTTCCCCCTCCCATATTCTCACTAGGATCATCAAAAGAAGCAACTCCAGTTCTTTAAAAGGGTCAGCATAATAAATTCAGTTTGATAATATTTCTGGAAACCATACTAGGTTAACATTCATATGAGAACAGATCTTCTATGGCTACTTTTGACAAGTTTATAATCAGTAGTACAGGTTAATATTCCATTCTACATAAACTATCAGCGTCTCTAGTATAATTAAGAGATGGTTCCCTCAAAGTGTTCGAGGCCTGGTTGGATGGAGCTCTGAGCAACCCCATCTAGTGGAAAGTGTCCCTGCCCACGGCAGAGGAGTTGAAACTAGATGATCTTTAAGGTCCCTTCCAACCCAAACCCATCCTATGTTTACTATCCTAGATCTATCCTTATTATGTTAAATATTTTCCCTTTTCAGCAGTCAAATGGTGACAACTGTCTCTGTTTTCTACCAATAGTTTTTATAATACTGTACAGCCTATATTACTATGCCACTAGTATGTTAAAAGGTGTGAAAAAAAATACAGTTCTTTTTTTTTTACAGTTAAATATTTTCACTGTATACCCCCTCTCTCTAGTTTATTTTGTTTGCTAAGAATCTTCATGTTGATCTGAGTTCAGAAGCAGAGAACCTCATTCAAGGCTACTATCTTGCAAGTCGCAGGGTGAGAAGAGATTCCGTTCATGGATCAACATTATCAGCATCTGCACTAAAAATTCTGTGAGTCCTACTTTTCACAGTAAGGGAAACACACCTGTGTTTCAAAGAGAAATTGTGCTAATCTGGTCAAGAGCTTGCTTAATAAAAATCTAGATAAGACTCTTATGTTTTGAAAAGGTCAAGCATAAAGGATCTTATTTATTGCTTATGAATGCTGAAAGAAATCCAAGTTCAAAGAACTTTTCCAAGCAAAAAATATAACAGTGATTTACAAAACAAGTGTTATTATTGAAGCTATCTAGAAAAACAAAAATGGGAATTAAATATCCACAGCTTTATTATGGGAGCAAAACAAGTATTAACAATAGATAATATGCTGACTTCTACTGCTTTCATAGCATAATATGTATTTTGTCAGTGGTAAGTATAACTGCACAGCTGAAGTATGAAAACACTTCAGTGTTAACTTTTGATTTACACAAGTGCTTGAAACAGGGCAATACACATTGCATTCACTTCTGCAGTATTTTTTATTTCTGACATGCTTATATTGATCTCTTAGGATTTCACTGTCTAAGGCTCATACCAAGCTAAGTTTAAGACACACAGTACTTGAGGAAGATGCTTTGATTGCCATCTTGTTACTTGAGTCATCTCTTACCCTAAAACACGGTAAGTAATGCAACTCAGTCTTTAGGTTATTCATGTTTGTTAGTTTGAAAAACGTTTGTATCAACTGATTGCAGTAATAGGTCGTTTCAAATCAAAATCCAGAGTTTCCACTGTTGAAGTTGGTATTGGAAAAGTCTGTCAGTTGGTTTCCCTGCTGAGCCTCAGTGCTCTACATAATTAGGCCACAGGCCAGCACCCAGTCTGTCCTTCATGCTGGTTTATTTGAGGTGTTGCTCCTCTAACACTGGTCAGGTTAAAGGACAGATTTCCCTTCTTGGGGAAGCTGAAAACAAGGGTTGGGATTTTTTAGTTTGTTTATCAAGCATCACAGTCACATTTGTTCACACACAGCTTTAGAAACAAGGTTAGAATTATGATGTAACAGCTAAAACTGGTAACACAGAAGATTGCATTACTATATAATCTGTGTCACACTTTTTTCATCTCAAAGTACTGGCTAAAATTTATCAAGTCTTTCAGCCTAAGTCTTGATTTCTTCTTTGCTTAGGCACATCTGCATTATGTGTAGCACCAAATTCTGTATTTCCATTTGACCTCACTGATGAAAACTCCCTGCAACAGAGAGATATTTACCTCATGCAGTGTCACCATGAACTCCTGAAGTTTATTGCTGCATATGGTCCAGGAATTCACATCAACACTAATGAAGAGTAAAAACTCCTCTCTGTGGAGTAAAGCTTGAAGCTTTAGCTTTTTGAGAGGCTATTTTATTGAGTTAGAAATACAAAAATATAAAAAACTTACTAGTTGTCTAAGACAGTTCAGTGCTGTTTTATAAGGAATAAAGCATATCCAACAGGATTTGAATTGCTAGTTTTTTGACAGTGTTCTTTGAAGGCAGGAGGGATGCCTTCATCCTGGGAGGCCACGGCCCCAGAATGTAGCCACAATCAGAACCTCTCTTCCTGGCTACAAATGTTCATTCACTGTTAAATGAGGACTAAGCAGGGTTTTTAGTAAGACAACTAAAATTTAAACCACAACTTCAGAATCTAATGTTGCCTTTCAACTACGTGAATTCACTGCAGTTTTTCTTGTTGCTTCTTTTAAAGTGTATCACCCAGAAGGTTAAGTAGTTTTAAGTACATTAAAACTTTTCCTAGTTTAAGCCAACTTTCATTACTCATGCTGTATAAATTTTGAAATGTATAAAAGCATCACCATGCTGCTTCATGTTTTGTGTCTTTTTTTACATTACAGCAACATAGTATTAGACAAGGATGCCAGTGTGCTCCTGCAATAAAAAAAAACCAAAACATCCCCCCCACATGTTTCCACATTATTTTATGCAGGCTGCAGGGGATAGCAGAATGCCACAGGAGAGTGAAAGGTAATATCAGACAACCTGGTAGGCAGGTAGCTCAATGAGTTCACCTCTACTTCACTGCAAAAACAAGTGTGAAGAATGGTGTGGTAAAAGATGAGGTGTCTGAGGTACAGTAGGCTTCCCCAACTATGGGCTTTTCTGTATTTCATCTTCCTTGAAAGGATATAGCACTAGACAATCCTCAGCAAGTTTTACATCCAAGAGATACATGTTAAATAAAAAAGCAGCACTAAAATTGTACAGACCTCCTGTCAATCTGGACAAGCTGAATATTTAAGGCTTGTGTGAATCCTATACAGAATGTCATCCAGCAGTATCACAGTGCTACTGTTCCCATACTCTCAACAAAAAAACAGAGTCACTGAAAACAGAAATCCAAGATTTTATTCATACCCACTACTAACATTGTAAACACTTTAGCCAAGATAATGAGTTTTCCTACATGTTTTAACCCTTGCTGTATTCACTTTTAATCCATTTATTTGATACGCTCAAATATTCATACCAAGTTCTAAGGCCAGTTCCCTTTCCAGAGTGACACTCTCACCTGAACTTCATTCCAGGATTATTCAGACATATTCAGCAAACAGGTACTTCTCTGCAATATTATTGAATCAAGAGGTATTTCTGAGAGGCAGGAAGGGCCACGGAAGCATTTCCAAGTGCATTAGAACTCCGCATTCCAGGATGCTCTTTTCAAGCTAGGAGCAATAATAATGTAAAAAAGTTAGTTTTCTGTACCCTTAATCCATCTTTATACAAAGTTATTACTTTCACTGGCATTTCAGATTCAAAGATACACATCAAAAACCCTTCAGATGGGTAAACGGCAAAGGTTCTCATCATTATGCCAGCAAAATAATAGACTGAAATAGAATTCCTTTAGAAATCACTAGTTTTGAGAAGCCATATTAAGGAATGTGTATTCTTCAGAAAAAAACATCCTGCAAAAAGAGCACGACATTTTATCCTTACCTCTCCGCACTCTCCCATGATCTCTTAAGCAAAAATGGGAAGACTAGCAGCGGACTCTACTGTTGGCTCTGAGTGCATACACAAGGCTGGGAGACAGTGGAGATGGTCATCTGATGTCACCTTTAAAAGAACACGTAACATCAGAAATGACGGGAGCAAATCAAACTGTAAAAATCCTACAACTGGCTGGCACATCAGATAGATCACTGCTCATCACAACATTCAGCTGGGTAAACGGCAAAGGGTCATCATCATCATGCCAGCAAGTTCCTGCCCCTGGTAAGACTGGTGTCACTTTTTCCAGGAATCAAATACAAGGGAATTGGTTATGTTTGTCTCAAGGGGTGTGCTTCCATAAGCAGAAGCAGATCCTTTGTTTTAACTGCTAACCACAGAACGAATTCAGTATAGCCAGGAACAAGACAAAAAAAAGCTCTCTTTGGGCACAGAAATCCAGGACTCTCCCTGTTGTTACATTCAAGCCCCAGATGCCAAGTATCTTTCTAGAGGTAAAGTTCAGAACCGTAGTCGCTTTTCCCTTTGAAATATATTCCAAGTCTGACATGGGTAAGTGCCAGGGATGGTGATCTGAACACACTGTTCTTCACTTTAGTCTCTCACTTCCAACTAGCGTCTGTTACTTCCTCAAATCAGAACTCATGTTTCTCTCCCCAGTTAAAAACAAGTTTCTCTGATGTTATTACAAAACTCTCTGATTCCTTCAGGATTATTGGATTGCACCTGCTTTGTTCTAGGGAGCAAGTCTTAGAGATTTTATAGCTGTCATAATACCTTTTGTTAGACTTTCAACCTCAACCTTACCACATGCAATCATATGTAGTTCTGTTCCATCTGTAAGAGAATTTGCAAGCCATTAAACAGCTTCAGAACTCTAGATCTAGAAGCTTCTCTCAGCACCTTTAAGTACAGTACAAAATATTTACTTCTGTAGCTCTAGAATTCACGTGACATCTTTCTGCTTGCAAGGCAACAGCGTGGCTGAGTCCAGACTGAAGATTCCCAAAGCCAGTAACAAACTCATGAATTTCACTTGCTGCCTAAAACAATGAAAAGAAGCAGATGTTTGATTCAGAGAACTCCACTGCTGAGCCAGTAGCACAAAGCATTAACGCTTCCTTGGGGACAGTAAGCCAGACAAAGAAATACCAACCACATGCTCCCTTTATAATTACCTGGGGAGAAAACTACAGAGAGCATCAGATGAGAACGAGGTTAAGCAGAGGCACAACCATTTTCCTAAAGCAAGCTGCAGTGTGAGGAATGACTGACTGCAGGACAACTACACTGCTCCTAATGAAGAGCCATGGCTGGGGAGAGGAGCACCTTGGCAGGTTACAGCCTTTAACCTCAGTTTACGTGCCACACTCTGGGGAACTCACTGATGTTTTACCACCAGTTGAGTTGAGGTCAGCGCTCGCACTGCAGTCCTGGTAGGAGAGCATTACCCCAGAGGCTGCCGAGACCCCTGAGGTCCTGTCCCTGCCAGAACCCACCATTCTGGATCTGTGCCTACAACTCAAAAAGGGCATGGCCAGGGTCACCATACAACACTTGCCAAATTCCCTAAAGGAAAAAGAAAGTAATTTATCTTTAGAATTAGGACATGCATTTGCTGATGAGAACGATCTGTCAGCAAAACAAAGTGTCTTCAGTTGTCAAATCTGTCATTCCTTTTAAGACTAGATGAGCCAAGAGGTAGCTTGAAGTAACCACCACGGCTTTGCCGGGGTAGTGGCACACACTAATTAGGTGCATCTCAGTCTCACATGCCTGCCACACTCCTGGGAAGCCTGTGTGGGTGGAATGTCAGCATGAGCAGAGTCACTCCAGCACCCAGGCCCGAACATGCTCACAACAGCATGACAGTCACTCCTCTTTCAAGTGATGGCTTTGTTTAGAAAAGTGCCAGCAAACCATCCCTGCAACTCTTGAGATTGCAGCCATTGCTCTGGCCTGCCAGGATGGGATTTCTCACATTAAACAGTTGGGGGCATTTCTATTTCCTTTGAAAGACTGGAGTGTCTGATTCCTCTGAAAAGACGAGCTGTTGTTCTGCTGTTCAGACGAGCATGTGCCTGGACTGCCAAGCCGAGGAACTGCTCGAAGGAGCACAGCAGAGCTCGAGTGGCTCTCACACCCCATGGGCAGCGAAACAGCACCGTGTGGCTGCCGGGGGGTCGGCACGGCCGCCCCGGCGGAGCGGGATCACAGAATCACAGGATGTTGAGGGACTGGGATAGACCTTAAAGATCATCTAGTCCCAACCGCCCTGCCATGGGCAGGGACACCTCCCACAGGCAGGACACCTCCCACTAGATCAGTTTGCTCAAGGTCTTATTCAACCTGGCTTTGAACACTGGCAGGGTTGGAGCATCCACAACTACCCCGTTCCAGTGCCTCGCCACCCCACAGTAAAGAATTTCCCTCCAGTATCTAGCCTAAATTTCC